TGGAAGGTTTTGAGAACAGTGATATAATCTGACTTGTATTTTAATGGGATCCCTTTGGCTGCCTAAAATGGGTGCTCACATGTTGAGAATAAGCTGAAGTGGGGCTGGTGGGGGGCAGGGAACGAGGCAGAAGCTGGGAGACCAGTCTGCAAGGGACTGCAATAACACAGGCTGGCTTTGGCTAGCATGCGAGCAGTGCGGGGGGGACAGATTCTCGACATGTTTGAAGGAGAGCTGAAAGGATTTGCTTACAAACAGATGTGATAACTTGACAATTTTCTTAAATCAGTATTTAAATTTTACTTCTTGACCTCAAAAAAACCCTGAAGACAAAGAAAAAATGAAGTGCAGTTCTACCCTGAACCATCCTTCAAAAATTATAAGCTTTTAAGAAGACTTATTTTAAGTTTTACATCTACCATCAAGATATAAGATATAGTGATCTTCACTTATGAGTTTTTTCCTTTGATAAAAGGCTGTTCCAAGAGCAAAGTTATTTTTTCACCCATGAAGCCAAGCAAAGAGAACACTTAGTTTACCCTTTCAACAATTTCACTTCGCCTTTTCAAGAAAAGAGTGGTATCTTTGGCATTCCTACTGATCAGGAGTTTACAGAATGTTTCTACCACCTATTGTTGTCTTCAGTTTAAAGACCATGGAATTACCCAATTTAGAAAAATATTCTTAACAAACACAGCTATAACTTCCCACCCACAAACTGTGGTAAAAACTCACCCATATAAAAGCAGAAGGTGGTAAAATTGAAATTTCAATGATGTCCCTCGCCACTTTCAAAAACCAAAGAAAATGTTTCCTCTCATTGTTGCCTAGATAATTATGCATTTACCTAAATTATTACTAGTATTCAGTTAAAGAGATCCTTAGGGCTCCTACAGACAATGGGTCCACAGCTCTAGGCTTCATTTTAAATAATTAGTAAATACGTTCTCCAGAATTTCTGGAAAGACTGCTGCAGGGAATGTTGGTCATGTTTTTCTGAAGGGCAATTTGGCAATACCGCTTGCACCAAAAGCCTTAAAAAATATGCATTCGAAAACCCAGCGATTCACTTCTGGGAATTCATTCAAAGGAAGAAATGAACAATTTACCCAAAATTGTTCATTTCGGTACCGTTTGCAACAACAAAAGGTCAATCATCTAAATATATGACAAAAGGAAACTAGTTATATGTAAACTGCAGCATATGTATATGCAGCCATTAAAAAAAGATGCTTATAGAATTAAACTTAAGATGTTCATGTACATTGTAAAAAAAAGCCAGTTATAAAACTCCATTTTTATTAAAACAAACAAACAAACAAACCCCCCCCCCAACCACAACTAATACAAAAGCTCTATAAGCATACAGCAACACCCGAAAGTAATAACCGGTTGCCTCCGGGCAGTGGGATGATGGCTGACTACCCTTTTTGTCCCCTCACTTCGAATTTTCTATAAACATTTTTTTTTTTAAGATTTTATTTATTTATTTATTTTGAGAGAGAGGATGAGAGAGAGAGAGAGCATGATGGGGGGGAGGGTCAGAGGGAGAAGCAGACTCCCCGCTGAGCAGGGAGCCCGATGTGGGACTCGATCCCGGGACTCCAGGATCATGACCTGAGCCGAAGGCAGTCGCTTAACCAACTGAGCCACCCAGGCGCCCTCTATAAACATTTAATACTTGCATAATTTAGAAAGATTTCTAAAAAGTAACCAAATAGAATCTTGTTTATTTTGTACAAGTTTTGTTTATTCTTCAGGCCTTTGTTTAAATTCAACCCACGTGCCTCCATTAAACACACCAAAATGATCTCTCTTATATTCATAACTCAGTATTAGAGTGCTATTTTTAACATGTAAATTTTTACCTATCAAACTACATAGTAAGCTCGTCCGTGTCAAAGACAAGAAATGGTTAAAATATTTGTTGCTTTCATACTTCAGAGGATTTTGGTAAGAAAGCTAAGACGCCAGCAGAGATCACTGTGTGTCTGACTTACCTTCACCGCCTGACTCTTGGTGTTGATAGGGGGATTTTTCAGAGCTGCCTGGAGGGCGGCTGTCATGTTTCCTGTGATGGAGGTTAAGGGGATAGCGGCATAGGGCAGCTCTCAGGAAAGCATTGTTTACCAGGTATCATTGGTTCTTAAGACTTGATTTTATACACAGAAAGAAAAATTACCATAGTCACTATGTTCAATATTGGAAAACTCAGTATGTTGGTTTCAATGATGTCAATCAAATGTAAAATCCTGAAAACACAGGAGAACGTATTAAGGCAAAGACCAGTTCTTGTCTGGTTCTAATTACTACATGAACACTTTGATAGCCTTTTATTTTCCAGTAAGACACATATGCAAACATTATCCAGTAATATTTAAAAAAAAATTTATGTATCTCAGAATTATTAGGTCCCAAAATGAAACAGCATATCCTCAACCAAAATGTGTTTTTATGTGATTCTAACTGGAAAAACAAAGACCAAACTTTTGCTAGAATTATACTGTGTATGAATTGAATGATGGCAGAAAATGCTGGTGACTATTCTAGCACTCTAAATGATACACATCAGCAATCTCTCAGTATTAATGAAAAGAGGCATTACAAAAGATGTAATAATGACATTCAGGTAGAAGCTTAATTTTTCTGTTTTGCACATTTTCTCTTATATTTCATAAAGGTTATTAAAACTGTTTTAGGTCATACCTATTAAATTTAGTCTTTGAAAGCACCAGTGCATTAGCAAGTACGAGACACGGAAGGCCAATCAGACTGTCAGAATATACAGTCATTCCCCTAAAAGGAAAACCACAGCGTTCACTTGTTCCTCCATCTGTAGTGCCTGACCCAGAGCTTGTCTCTTCTGGTTGCAACAAGAGAAGAAGAGACAATTATCTTTTTATTTTAAGATAAAGTGATTAAAAAGCAGATCCATTATATGGATACAGCAGTACCAGTTAAGAGTCATCACCCACCAACCTAAAGTTAGTTCACAAAAACATCATTTATCCATCACAAAGAATGTTTTCAGACAGAATAATATTCATTGCTTATGTTTGAAAAAGAAAAAGAAAAAGAAAAAAAAGGTCTGACCAAAAAAACCCCCCAAAACAAAAAACCCCTATGGTTGGTGGTAAGCTGTTATTTTCAAGGGTTAACGAACTTCTAGGAAAGCATGCCTTTTGCAGACTGGCTCATTTTTAAGACCTAAAGCGTTTAAGTATTTAAATAATGCAAAATAGCAACAGCTGACTGTGGAAGTTGTGGAAATCAAAGAAACATCTGTATGCTGATAAATGTTTAGTGCTGTATTTTAGGTGCCTTTAAGACTAGATATAGTGACAACCAATACTTTCACTCATATTTCCCCATTATACTTTAATAGGACATTGATGAGGAAAGGGTTTAAAGAGTCTTCCTTACCTTATGAATACATTCAAGAATAATTAGAACTGAGTGAACTCAGTAACTGAGAATCTCTAAAACTACAGCATTAGTCGTTCCAACATTTACATTTTTCTAAAAAAGATGTGATGCAAATGCTCACTCGAATTTATGAATATTCAAATATGCAAAAACGAAAACCAGGAACTGACAGCCACATTTTAACTGAAATGGAAACGATTTCAGAATTACAAAAATGATTCTGCTTTGTACAAATGACTCATCGTCTATTTTATTCACTGGGGTTTATTTTAAATACTTCCAGGGATTCTCCATATGCAATCCCTGTTTTCTTTCCATTGTTCCCCGCTTAGCAGGTAAAAGCCTACAAGCTTCCTTCTTGGGAGTTAGTTTTTTGTACACACTCCCTTTCCCCCGGTTAACAAATTCTCTATCTTGCAACCTTTATCTTGCCAAATTCCTTTCTCTTTAAATAGTGATTTAAAAAAAAAAAAAAAGGCCCAGGGGCTAAAAGGACAGAGGGCCTCAATTCTGCAAACCGCCCCATCCCTCCCAGCAAGGAATAAACTCTCCTAACCCTGCCGAAACCCAACCGCCAAAACAGAAGCAGCTGCTCCTCCCAATCACAAATTTCTGGAGCCGAGGTGACTCCGGCAATCACCCTCCTGGGGAGGACAACTTAAGCGCCCCCCCGAGAGCCAGAGCGCAGCACCAGATGCCTCCCCCCGCGCCGCGAGGGCGCGGTCCGCCCCGCCAGTTCCCGGAGGCAGCAACTCCGGCCGCAACCTGAGGAATCGGGGCGGGAGAGGCGCGCCGGGAAGGGCAAGTTTCCGAGGCGGGACCCTGGGTTCTCGGGGCAACTCGGTTAGAAATGGGAGTGTCCCCTGCCCTCTCAAGAGTGGGGGACCCCAGAGAGACAGATTTAAGTCATGGGCCGCTGGGGGCAGCTCCGCTCCCCTGCCCCGGGGTCGGCGGGGGTCCCGGGAGAGGAGCGGGTGGGGAAGGGAGGCCGGCAGACGCAAGGATATTGCCGCAGGCAGGAGTCCACCTCGCCTTCGTCAGGCCCGGCCTGCCCATCGCCCCCGTCTTCCTCGTCTACGAACTTGTTCTCGTCGTACTCATCCACATCCACCTTCCGGAACCGGGCCGACGACACGGTGTTCTTCGACATCCCCGATCCGGACCGGTGGCAAAAGCCTCCTCTCGGTTGCTGCCTCTACCTCGGTAAGCGTAGCCCACCAGGAACCCGCAGCCTGGCGCCTTCACTTCCCTCTTCCGCTCTGGGGCGTCGCCGGCAGCCGGGGCTCAGGCGCTTCTGGGCCTGCGCGCAGGCGGCGCTCCTTCCTCCTCAGCTTCATGCTCTTCTCTAGCCTACGCCGCCCCCACTCTTACCCCGGGGAGCGCGCGCGAGGGAGGGAGCACGCTGGACGCAATGCGCAGGCGCGGGCTCTCTGCAGGAAAGGGGCGGGGCTGGGCGAAAGAGGCGGGGGCGGGAGGGGGCGGGGCCGGAGGGAGGGCCGAAAGCGGTGCCGCGGGCAGAGGTAAGAGGCAATTGGTTGTCCGAGGGTGTCACGTGATCCCCAGGGGGTTTCCATAGCAACGCTTCTCTGCGGTCCAGCCAAGGGGGGGTCTTAGGTTGGCGGCTATGGGCACTGGGGGAGGGTGGCTTTTGCTGCCGCCGCTGCTGCCAGCGACCTGTCCTCGGGGTCCTGCGTGAGGTCCGGCTGGCCCGGACTTGCCTCTGAGGTGGGATGGACCGGCTGCCGGACCAAGTCCCCTGCAGTTGGCAGGAGTATGGGGCGGAGTGATGCGCGCTCGGGCGCCCAGTGTCGTTCTAGTTGTCAGAGACATCACTTCGGACCGTGCGCTGCCGGTGGCTGCGTTCCTGAGCCGGGAGCCCCTTTTCCGGGGTTGGAACTGCGCTGCGCGGCTAGCGGGAGGTTCCCAAGGACGGAGTCGAAAGGTCATATCTTACCTGTCAGTGCTGTGTGACAGCATCCCGACGGCACCTGCAGAGCCTGAACTAGGTATCATATCCACTGGGAGGGAGGGGGAGGTTCTGGGCAGGGGCTGGGGTGGCAAAACTGGGGCGAACCTGTGGAATTTGGGGTAGGGTCAGTCACTGACATCTTAAAATAAGCGGCTGTTTGGAGCCAGAATGCTAGAAAAGGATAGGGGCGAGTTACGCTCTCCGGTGCTGTGGGGAAACAAAACGTGTGAGGATTAGTAGAAACCAGATCTTTAAGATTTATATTTGTGACTTAAGATTTTTATGATCCTGCTAGGCCAGCTTTTCGTTACATTTGACATCCTCATTTCTGAGAGCAAAGCTCTTACTGAGGAGGTGAAGGCACTAACACTAAAGAAATGGTAGTTGTGCTGTGTGTATAACCCTGAAGTACAAATATTTGCAGAATAAAATTATTTTGGACATTCAGCTGGACGCTGCTCAGATAGCTTTATGTTTTCCTGACATCCTATCAGGTCTACTTCGATTCCACCTCTAGCAGAAAGCCAGTCGTTGCCCTGTTAATACCCCATCCTTGGTTTCCTGTGCTGTATTGAAAAGAGCACTGGACTTAAGAGTCAGAAAACCCTGGCTCAAGTCTTGACTTCCACTTGTAAATCATTTGACTGAGGCATGCCACTTAAAATTCTGAATTTCAGGTTCCTCATTGCTAAAGGGGAGCTAATAATGTGTACTTCACAAGATTGTTCTGAGGATTAAGTACAGGAAAGTGTTCTGAAGCTCTAAAATTCTACATAAATGTAAAATGCATGTTACCTGTACCATTGATTTTGGCACTAGTCTTATGAATTACTTAATGGTTTTATCTTGCTCCTGGAAAAGATCAGAAGATTCTGGAGGGCAAAGACTCATCTTATATTTATTTTGTATGTTCCTTTACATCTGATATAATGCTAAGCATGCAGGCAGTACTCAATACATTCAGGTACTCAATTATTCACTGATGAATGAATAAAATGTGAAAGGCAGACAGTTTGAAAGTCACAGTGAACATAATGAATCAGTAAGAATAGGAAGAGAGATCTCAAAATCAAACATTTGTTGGACAGATATGCATACATATGTATATATGTATATTTATATCTACATTGACATGTATACATATGTATACATATATATATATGGAGAGACAGAAAGTTCACAGGAATGGAATACATCATTTCTTCTTGGAAGGAAGAAGCAATATGGCATTTTTCTCTTCTCAATTAAATCACCCTTCTAGAAAATATATCATTTATGGTGGAAGCGACATTTCTTTAAATTAAGATTCAAGTTATGAGCAGAAACATGATAAAAACTCCCCCACGTTTTGTTTTCGTAGAGCAAAGGAAAATTTTCTACCTGTTGGTAATATTTTAAAAAGTCATATACCAAAGTATCCGACCATTACCATGGTTAGTGGCGTTATATAAGTTACAATAAAAATTTATTTTAATATTTCTTCCTCAGTTTCAGTCTTTTGCTAACTTTGGTAAGAGCTAAACATTTTTTTTGATGTTAAGGATGATTGTACTCTTTTGTTCTTCTAAATCAAGATTTTCTTTGAAGAGAAAATTGAACATTAGAAGCGCTATTGAGAACAAACAGAAACAAGGATTTAAGACTAATGTATCCCTTCTCTTACATTTCTCTTCTTTTGTATTAGGTCTTATTTAGGAAATGTCTCTATTCTCTTATTTTAGAACTGGGAAAGAATCCTGGGGGTAGAAATCAACTTAAGGGAATAATAAGAGGAATTTAAAAAATCGAGTTGCTCAAGGGTATAATTGATTTGATTACTCAGAATTTTGTTCTATATGTTGAATGTGTTAAACATAATTAATTAATTCTCAGTTGCATAATGCATAATACATTTGAGATGTAATAATGTCAAAAAGGTCCTTTTCCAATGCAGTATTTTTTATTGTCTCACAACGATAAGTACCTAGTATATAGTAAGTATGCAAAACATTTCTATCCAATGAATTAATAATCTGACAATTTTGCAATCATATTTAGAAATTTCTAAATAAGTATTTCTTAATGGACACATTAATTTCCTCCCTACCCCAATCAGCTAACAGTTAAATCTATAAAGCTTTAGGGAAATGTGTGTGTGTGTGTGTGTGTGTGTAAACCTGTCCTTAATTATGTTTTAATTAGATAATACACATTATTCCACTTTTTTGCAAATTACAAATTTTTATGTTAATCATAGTACTTAATTCATTTTAGGTAATATTATTCTCCCTATTTAATTTTCCAAATGAGTGTTTATCCCTGGAATAACGGATCCATAAGGTTTTAAGACATCTCATTTATTGTGCAGATAACCTGGTTTGGTTGAATACTAAAGTAAGACTAAATCTGAATTTTCTCAAGGTTAATGCTGTGTGATAGTATGCAGCTCCTTTTTATTATCTGTGATAATGCAAAGCGTGAAGGATCTTTTTAATTAGAAAGTATTTTGATAAAACTATTTTATAATAGGTCTTTCAGATATTTTAAGCTGAGTACTCCACCTACCATATGCTTCTTTTACCCAGGTTTGCCACTAAATACTTAACAAACGAAGACATTGAATCCCACAGCAATGAAATGGAAGTGAGGCCAGTGTTAATCAAATATATCAGACATGTGTTATAAATATAAAATAAATAAGTAAGATTCAGTTCTGGTAATGGTGATGTAATACCACTGTTCTCTAGCAATATAATTACTACAATAGAAGGTGATTTTTTAGCATGTTACCTAGACTATAGTATGGTCTCATGCTTGTACATAATATCCAAATGAACTGGTTCTGTGTTGAACCACCAGCCTTCCAAACTTTCAGTTTTTGCTTTGTGATTTATTTTAGCTTTATATAACTTTATGATTACACACTAAGGTAGGGTAGTTAGGGTGAACTATTTTACAATGGGACCTGTATTTATTTATATGTTAGTGCTTCTAAGATTAAAAATTTTTAATCTGTACTCTTGTCTCAGGGAAAACGTTTAGTGCTAAATGAAACAATAAACCTTGTTTGTTAAACATTGTTTTGAATGGTACTCTTTTATTTATTTTTTTTACCTGCTTATGATAATATAGAGAGAAGCTATGGATTTAAGAATTTATTTATTCTGTATTCTTTCCCATTGCTGGGATCTCTTATTAATGCTAACAGTTTTTTTAAGGTTGCATTTCTTGTCATAGTATATAATCACAATATTTGAGATAAGGATAACTTACATTTTCTTTTCTAATATTTATATCACTTTCATTTATTTTTTTTTTTCTTATTGCATTAGTTGGACTATCAAAAACAGTGTTGAAAAACTGGGTGATATTAGGCATCTCTTTTTTGTTTCTATTTTAATGGAAATGGTGTTAGTATTTTACTGGTTTATATTTCCTATTGTTTTAGGATATTTAGGAATGACTGCTGAAATTATCAAATGCTTTTTTTGAGGGACCTAGTAACAAAAACCATATTTTTTTTATCTTTTAATTTACAAATATAAGGAATTATATATATATATTTTAAAGATTTTATTTATTTATTTGAGAGAGAGCAAGCATGGGGGGTGGTTGGGAGGGGCAGAGGGAGAGAGAGAAGTTGGATCCCTGCAGGGAGCCTGATGTGGGGCTCCATGAGGGGCTTGATCCCAGGACCCTGGGATCATGACCTGAGCTGGAAGGCAGACGCTTAACTGACTGATCCACGCAGGCGCCCCTATTTATATATATATTTTTGCACTGAACCATTCCCACATTTCTAGAATAGATTGTGGTTACTATTTTAATTACTTGATAGATTGGATTAGTTTATTTTCTTTATGCGATTTCAGAATCAATATGTATAAGTGAGATTGACCCATAGTATTTCTTTGTGCCATCTCTATTCAGTTTTGATATTAGGATTAGTATAGCTTTGTAAGATGAATTGAGATTTCCACCTTCTTTCCTATGCTCTGGAAAAGTTTTAAAATTTCTATGCTATTTTTTCTTTGAGAGTTATAAAATATGCTTGCAAAATTATCTGGACTTGCTCGTATTTTTAGAGTTAGATCTTTGATCATCTCTATCTCCTGTGGTTATAGATTTGTTTGATTTTTCTCTGAGTCAATTTTAGAATTTATATTTTCATAATAGATCATGCATTCTATCTAGATTGCCAATTTTTTGGCAAAAAGTTGCACAAAATATTTTCTTACAATTATTTTAATATCTTGCATGACCATGGACTTATTGCTTCTCGTTGCTTTAAGCAAAATATTAAAATCAAACTTTTTTTCTTCCCCCTAACCTTATTGTTACAAATGCTAGTAATAGATCTTTACTTCTTATAGAAAATAAAATTTATAGTTTTGATAAAATTTGAAAGATCTTGCAATTCCTATTTTTCTACTGTCTATCCTTATTTTATTAATATTTTATTAATAATAGCAACTGCTTGATGTTTGTTTTGTGTTAGACTTGGTAAACAATCTCTTTATTTACATTATTTAATCATCAGAGTAGCTCTAGGGCTTAGGAGTTAGTGTGTCCATTTTATGGATGAGGAAACAAAGACTGAGAGAGGTTATGTAACTCAGCTAATGAAACTCAACTAGCATATAGCAGACTGGTATGGTAATTAGGTATGTCACATTCCAAAGCTTGTGCTTTTAATCACCACTCTCTGCTCAGTAAGTCTTTCTCATTATTCCCAACTGTACTGCTTACCTTTGTGCTAAAAATAAGGATATAACTAAGTGCCAGCGTCCACATAAACCTACACAGGGCTTTTCATAGCTTGAAATGAACTCTAAACTGTGAACTTAAAAAATCTTGTTATTGTAATGATTTTTTAAAAGACATTTGTTTTTCAGGTACTTGTGAGCTTTCCCCACCTTATCTCAGTATTTTGAGACTAGACATAGAGCCTGTTACCTAATATTTAGTCTATCACAAAAAATGTCACTTTTTTTAGTATATGAAGAGATCAGTAGGTGTTGACGAATAATTCCACTTAATTTTTTTAAGTCGTAGCAA